TCGGTCCTCACTGGGATCAGTAAGTCGTCGGAGGCACTGGAAATAAGACTAATGCCTCGATAATTTTCCTATAAATGGCGTTAACTTTTCTTGAAGATCGATACGGCAATTGACTATAGAATGTCTGAAAACACCTCGTCAGTGTCGTGTTACACAGAGAAGCAACTGCAGTCAACAAAGAGTCACTCCGTCTTTTAGCAAAGATACAGGAATATCGTCAAGTCTCTGAGCCTTGTTACGTTTCAACATGGAATCTCTTCTAAAGTGCCAGATGTGACATCAAGTTCCCACGCAGGCTCAGATGATTCAGCAAACAGCGTTGTTGCAACAGGCATGCCAAACTACTTTACAAAATGTTCCGCCCGACGGGCTTGGCGACGAGGCTAAGAATGGATCAGCTATCTGTCTCTCAACTAATGTTTTACTGAGTGATGGCTTTATAAGACTCGTGTTCCGGATGAGCTGGAATAGCACTAGGCTATTCCCGGTATCACTGCTTTTTCCACTCCATAGACCACTGTAACCCACTAACGTTCCCGGTCAATTCGAAAACACCTTGTCAGACATCGTTTCAGAGAGTTAAGGAAACGATGAAACTCAGTGCCAATCGGAACCTTTTTCTGGGCATCGATCAAGCTGATCCACTCACAGTTACGAGATCACAAATCGGATGCACAACAAGTGTCAGACATTTTCATGTCACACTTGAGACGATCCCAGTCAGCGTTCGGCTCACTAACCTCATTAATCACTGACAATTGGTGGACCAGTTCGTTATAATATTGTTGAACCGTAGACTGCGAATTCAAATTACAGGTAAGGTTAGAAGATAGACGTTTCTTCGAAGGAGGAAGAGTGAGAGCCAAGCATGCGCGCATTAGAGCATGGTCGGAATCTAGGCACGTGCTCAAAATAGACCGACACTCGGACTGATGTGCGCCATCTGTAACTGATGGCAATGTGATTAACTTGGGTCCAGGTCATTGAAGAATTCGATGGGCGCCAAGTAACGTGTTTGTGCTGGAAAGCAGTGCTACTGAGGTAATGGTTGCGGTCGGTGCACAGTTGCAAGAATCGACCACCAATGTTCGGCGTGTATCGACTCTGAAGCGACCTCTAAGGAGTTGTTCATAGTTGAAAGACGACCCACTCGGGGGCTCGTGTCACCAACGCCAATGGTATCGCCCAGTGTATGAAAATGACCCACGTTTTGTTTACAGTCATTTCATGGAGTGAAGAACACAAATGAATGTGACGTCTTTGTTTCAATACCATCCAATCGATAGCTGGTAGAATTAAGATGAGAACATGACGTGCAGATTTGAGAAGTGATATGAAAGCAACCTAGGATGAAATGAAAAAGAGAGGAAACACGCTCGTAAGTATTTCACAACCAAATGATCTATTCCTTATCGATTACACGTCATAGCCAATGTAAAAAGTGGTTGTCGGAAACTATGCTTGCACACCGACCCCGTGTGGGGACAGGCATAAGCCGACCTGTCAACGCGTTTATTGACGATTGAATGCAGTCGGACAGTTAATCAAAGAGACAGTGTGTAGGGCGACTATTGGGAGGAGGGCCTAGAAACCAAATAGTCACAAGTACGATGAAATGAGCCGAGTGATTAGGAGACAGAGAGGAAGGAAAATCAATAATTCTGAAGGTGATCGTTCTCACCTCAAATAAGGAATGAAACAAGAAAGTGGAATCGAATATAGTTTGGAAAATGATGCGAATAATTTCAAGGAAAGAATGTGTTCAGAAATGGGTGTGCCACAAGTAATGCTGTCAATCAATTCAGGGCAGGAAGAGGGTTCAGTGAGGAGTGGGTAGGAAATTGGCGTAGTACGGAGAGGGAAAGATAGGAGGTAAAAATTAGCCTTCCGGAAAAGCGTAACGAACAACGCACGACACACAATCACATAAGGACTGGGAATCCTACTTAGTGCGCACACAACAGCTCACCTGCAACCACGTCGCTTAATAAGCTTGGCACATCCCACTGTGAACAGTTAGGCAATTGCCTTCGAAAAACAGTAGACCGTAAATCATGCTGGTCTGGCAAGGTGTCGCGAAGTTGTCCTAAGCCCCACTTAGGAAACAAACACAAGGAAGAAAGAGTAGGCTAGCAGCGAGGAACAAGTATACGAGTGGAAATTCGTTAAGACCAACCATAGGGGGTCGGAAGTACGTGTGTACCTGCGTTGCGAAGTTGGTCATCGAAGTTGATGCGACATCCTTAAAAGGTGACAAGGTTCGCGATAACCAAAAAATTAAGACAAACGTCACACATCCAACAACGCGCAACAATTTTTGATTTCGCATACGAGTTGCAGTGACTTAAGCCATTGAGTAATGGGACATGTCGAACAGTGGCGATGAGTAATGGCAATTCGGCAGAGTGGAACAACTAGAGGTTACAGTTGAAAACTGAATGCCGCATGCGGAGGTTGACGTTGCATACATCATGTTTCTTCAACGCAGCCGGGCTACACCGAGTTATATGTAAAGTAGCCTTTCTTAACCAAGTTAATTTATTTGGTATGCGCAGCATTATTATTCGACTGCATATTTCATGTCAAATTTGCGTATTTATTTGGTTTCCGATTCCGTGTTGGTTGTTTGAAATTCGCGGTGGGGCTGCGCATGATGTGAATGTGGACAAGGTGACTACCGGTCTAATACCCTCCACCTCACAAGTTCACTCACCATTTAGAGTTACACGTACATGGTTGGTGGCATCCGGTTTCGGATTTGCCTGTCACTGTGGCCAGCCACACGACGCCTGCGCCTACAGAGAGACCATGGGTGGCTTGCACTGCACCACCCACAGCTCCAGCCACACACCCCATATCCAGTGTAAACCCGAAGGAATAAGACCGGGAGGCATGCGGATGGGAACCACGTTTCATCAACGGAGCCGGCCCACACTCCTTCACAGGCAAACACAAGCACGCTGTATTTGGGAATCAAGCGCACACAAGGTAGTGGCTGGACCGTAGCCCGCGCCACACGGAGTGCATGGAACCACTCTTCGAGCCTAGCACGGCCACAAGGACGTGCACCCCGTCCCCTCCAGCAACGACCAACTGTCTCCTGGAGCCAGTATGAACGAGGTAGCGGGTAATAGACAGGTAGGCACCTTGTCAACATGCACATCAAGCTCAGCCACACCGGGGATATCAAGCAACAGCCATTCATTTGAGAGAGATATCAAATAAAATAAACCGGGTAATGCATAAGGAAGCGGTGACATAAATGGTAAACTAATGAGCATATGAAATAAGTTGTTTACAAACGAAGTGGAGACAGGTCAAGAGGTCAGGAAACATATTTTAAGAAAATGCCACAAACGCGAAAATGTTATCGAAATTAACTATAATTAGCTACAACAACGTGTGCAAGTTTATAGAAGACAGTACTGGTAGACATACATTTGAGAAAGAAAAGCATTAGGACAAAATTGAAAACCCACCACTTGAAATAACTAGACTTAGCATGCAAGCACGCGGTTAGTAAATCGAATGCAGCGTAACTACAAACGCTGCGTCGGTTCTGCCTATGTTCTCTGCAGGACCAATCGTCGCTTCGGTAGTGGTCCCGAGTGGCCTCGCTCATGGCTCACTAGGCCTGCCTGACTCAGGCACTCGCAACCGCATGTGCTACAGCATCATGCGCTCGATGTCGACGGAGTATAACCCATCGGAGCTTGCCGATTCTTCTCTGTGTGCATAAGGGATTTCTCCCGCACTTCGGCAACTGCCTTCATGATTAGATCGCGCCATGCACGCCGATCAATCGCCTTCGATTCCCATGACTTTCAGTCAAGATTAGAATGTGAGAGGCTCACTTTAATCATGTCCTGGTAACGTAATTTTGGTTTCGCCACATGCCGCTTCCCAATACTCAGCTGACCATATAATAGTTGTTTCGGCACCCGCGTCGAATTCATACAGCTCACATGACCGAGCCACCTCAGGTGTCTCAGCAAAAGTATGCAGTGCACTGCATACATCTCACTTCTAGACAACACTTCCGTGTCAGCAACTCTGTCGCCCCAACCGATGCGCAAAATCTGTCGCAAGCCCTGTTGATGGAACCGCTCGAGATATCGTACATCGTCTACGTTTTACTGCCTTACAGAAGAACGGACAGCACCATGGATTTGTACATCATCAGCTTCGTGCCAATGGTAAGCTGATGGTTGTTGCACACTCGGTACTCTAGCTTCCCGAATGCCGCCGCTGCCTCCGAGACGCGAATACGCAGCTCACTGTGTAGCTGCTGATCAGTCGACATCACACTCGCAAGGTAGCAGAAGCGGGAGGTGGTTTCCAACACTTCAGCACCAATGCTGATTCGCGGCAATATTGGTTGCACGTACACCTACATATATACATACACCAAATCCAGTATGTTACGGGTTAACTTGCTATATTTTTGAACAATTACCGAACATAATTGAGTGCATTAACATGATCATGCCTTCGCAGGCGTACCTCACACTGCCGGAAATAAAACATCTATTTGTTCATTTATTTACTGGCTCCAGGAGATTGCTAAGGTCTACTTGGAGGAGGGGATGCATGGTCCTCATAACTGTGATAGGCCCAAAGAGAGGTTCCATTCAGTGTGGGGCAAGCTACGACCCAGTCACCGCCTTAGGTACGGCTGAGATGCATCATACCCTAGTTAGGCAAAAAGGAATGGTGCTGCTGTGCATGATGAAGGAGTGTGGGTCGGCTTTGTTGACGAAACATGGCTCCCATTCACACGCATCCCGGTCTTACTCCTTCTGGTTTACACTGGATACAGGGTGTGTGGATGGAGCTGTGGGTAGTGCAGCGCAAACCATCCATGGTCAATTGGTAGGCACAGGCGTCCTGTGGAGCACGCGATGACAGGCGAACCTGGAACCGGATGCCGACAAACAAGTAGTTGAAACCGGTGAGTTGCGAATGGAAAGTTCATGAACGCGTAACTATGTAGCCACGAACTATTTGCACGAACAGGACAAGGGCAACAAAACAGGTAAATCAAACGATGTGAGGGAGCTCACTGTACTTACTCGACCCATTTCGCCCATGACGGCCACGGGTGTCATGCCCAAATGAGCGGCCACTTTGTGCTCCACAAGATAGAAAATGTACTCATCGTAGAGAAGACGAATAAGATGGAAACTGCCGAAGCTGGCCGCGGAGCGAAGCGTCAAATCACGAATCACCATGGAGCTAAAAAGGAAAATATACAAAACGGGTCAAACAAAAGAGGAACAGAGATTCAAATCCGTTTAGGATGATAAAAACCAATTCAGAAGAGTGGGTCGAGGTCAAAGCATCACAGAGCAACAGACAGATTCAAACAAAGAGAATTGCGTTGTGTTAGGAAGCCCTTGGAGAATTAGACCATGATGACTTGACCCGTGAGGCCACGGAGTGAATAACGTATGTTGCAAGCCGTTGGGAACCAGACACCAAAGTATAGATAGCACGGCATTCAAGTGGTAACAGACCACTCAGGGAGCAAAAGAACCCGAGAAAAGCAGCGCGAAAGCTAGAGTGCGCATCTTGGACCACTGAAGTCACCACCAAATCCGAAGACTGCCAGAAGTCAGGTAATTCACAAGCCTTCTTGGTGTTCGAGTAACCGCATACACAGAAGCCGGTGGCCATCCAGGCCGCTCATTCACCCACTTGTGTGTAATCGTGGGTATAGAAGTGAATGGTCAGTAACCCTATGATTGCACGCATTGCTTTGACACAACGATGCACGAGCTCTTGTTGTACTTGGTGAGGAATCACGTTATCAATATGCAGCTCCCCAATCACACCAGATTCCACAGAGTAGGTATTTCTTGATTCCAGACATAGGGACGCCTGGTAGCGCAAAATACGGGCGGTCATCAGAATCTATGTAACTCAATGATAAAAACCCACAGAAGAATGAATTAAGAGGAACAGAGGAATTTTAGATAACTCCACACCACTCCATGTCCAACCAAGCGGTCCACCCCAGTTCATCGGCTTCCATTTGGAGTCCTTCATGCTCCTTCAGATTGGCATGCCTCAATGCACGCACATTACTACAGATTGGTCAACAGGCAGCACCTGCCCAAACTTTAGAGACCCGCTCCATCGATATCTGCTGCTTATCGGAGACCCGCCTGCAAGACTCGAGCTCTGTGCTCACTTTGCGATCCCTTTCAGGTGACACCAGCAGCACTTTCTCATTGCGCCTATACGGTGACGATGCAGCTCCGAGCACCGGCCAAGTCAGTGTTGGTATTACCTTGCATCCCCGGGCTGAAGCTGCTCTGGTTGATTGGATTCCAATCAGTAGCCGGTTGTGTGCGGTCTGATTGGCTGGTCCGTTCAAAAGCTTCGAAACCACACAGGACTAAAAGGTGTCTATTCATCATCGCTGCCTACGCGCCCACAAACCAGCGATGATTCGGTAAAAGACGACTTCTATCGCCAACAGAACGAGCGCCTTCGCCACAGAAGAAGCTCGGACGCTGTTGTGCAGGCTGACGATCTGAACGCTCAAGTAGGAAAATTATCCTCTGATGAACTGCATCTGAGCGGCCAACATGGTGTAGGCTCCCGTAATGAGAACGCTGAGCGGTTGCTTCATTTGTGTGAAGATGCTCGTTTATTTCTCGCGAGCAATAATTTCCGACACAGCACCCGCCGGCGGGTGACTTGGCGCCCACCAGCCTCGAACTAGCTATGGACGCAAATCGATCACATTGCTATCAGTTACCGTTGGAGAGGCTGCAACCAGAACTGTCGCTCGATTTGGAGCACATGTGTGGACATCGATCATGCACTTGTATGTGCTGACATGGCGGACGCCCACGACGACGCTGTGAGCGCGTTGACACCAGCCAATTGACAAAACCAGCTGTTCTGCATGCGTATCGAAGTACGCTGACATGCGAGTTGAGTAAGCGCTCACTGGAGACAATTGATAGTCACATGTTCACCAGACCTTACTAGCAGCAGGCAAATCCTCATGTGGTATGTCTGATAGCCAACATGGATATTGGATCTCTTCGCGGTGTCTGGAACTTATCGACGCCCGCCGGCATATCCCGGCTGAAAGCGAACACAATGAACCTCACAAAGAGCTCCGGGAAAGACTCCGTGCTAGCCTGAAGAGAGATCGCGAATCTTGGTGGTCTTATCGTGCGTCAGAGATGGAAGTGCCCGCTGCCCATGGCAACCATCGTAAGTTATTCCGTATGGTACAGGAAACAGGCAGCAGGAGACCTGGTGTTAGTGAAATTATACGTGACGAGAGTGGACAGTCTATTCACAATTTGTTTGTATGCAGCAAGCCGGGTTTCGTTGAGGTCGTGGCTGCATTGACAACATTTTCACTTTGCGCTAATTACTGGAGCACCGTCACACATATTGGCGGCCCACCGTAGTTGTGTTCCTCGACATCAAAGGTGCCTTCGATTCGGATGATCGAAGTGCCCTTTGGGACTGCCTACTCAAGAAAGGTGTGCCTGAGAAATATGTGAATATTATCCGAGCGTTATACGCGCGTAGCACGGGCAGAGTGTGGACTTACGGTAAGCTGTTGCCGTTCTTCAATATCTCCAGCGGTATGACACAAGAATGCCCGTTGTCACGTTTCCTCTTCAATTTCGATATCGAAGAAGTCATGGAGATTTTATTTACAGGACACGACTTAGTAGGTGTGGAGCTACATCAGGAGAACGACTTCTTGACTTGGAGTATGCAAACGACATTGCCCTCATCTGTGACAGCTCTCAGACGTGCCAAGCTGCATTGGACAGATTAGTAATGGCTGTAAGCCGTTTCGGGCTTTGCTTCGTACCATTGAAGTGCAAAGCTTTCCTCCAAGATTGGCAGGGATCGTCTCCTACGCTGACCCTTGGTGGGGATCAGATTGAAATTGTGCAAAAAATTCAACTACCTGGGAAGTTGTATCAGCGCCCGTGAGATCGAAGACGAGATCACGAACCGGATAACAAAAGCTCGAAGCGATTTCGCTAGTTTTCGCTAAGTATGGCGCCGGCGCGACATCACTCTCTCCTTGAAGGGTAGAGTGTGCCATGCAGCGGTATGTTCGACCCGACTGTACGGTTGCGAAGTCTGACCCCTTAGATCAGCAGACATAAAGAGGCTAGTTAGGTTCGACCACCGGTGCCTTTGCAAAATAGCTCATATCTGGTAGGAACACCGCGTGAGCAATGAGCGTGTTCGACGCCTTGTTTATGGCATAGGAAAAGGAACTGAACCGATCAACACCGTCATTTCACGCACCAGGCTCCGATGGCTCGGCCACGTGTTGTGCATGCCAGCCCACCGACTCCCGCGACGTGCGTTGTTTGCGTGCCGGTGGTGTGGATTGAAGAATAGGAGAGGTGGTCAAGCGATGACTTGGTCGAGAGGAATGAAGGCCCTCACTTCGGAGCTGGCTTTGGTAAGAGCTTCTCGGCTCCCTGGTTGGGGACCAGAAGACAGTAAACACGTTTGGCTGGATACACTTGCTGACATGGCTAGGAGCCGACCTCAGTGGCGTTCCTGCTGTTTTTTATACCTCCCCATCCATTTTAGCCTCCCCCGCCAACAACGATCTCATTTCGTAGCATAATATAATTTTACATCATAATTTTTCTTGTTGCTTAGTAGCCGGCTGGAGCGATGACCACCCGTTGCTGGTAGTTCAACTGGCATGCAACCGTTGTATTTATTTTCTTTTTTTCTTTTATGTATTGCGGCACAGTAGCTGAGGTGTTTTACACCTCTAGCTAACGTGTATAATGAGGTAATGATGACACTGCATTGAGGATACATTCCCGTTCGATAGATTAAAGTAGAAAAGAGGAAAACCAACCACAGTCCCTGAACACAAAAGCACATATCGACAAATGGATAAGAAGGATGGTTTGTACAGAGATCTGTCCTGTGATTCAGTTGGGTTTCAAGTAACGGAAGAGGTTGCAAACGTCACTGCCTCATAGGTAGCTATCACGGTGCGATGGCGGCGGGATTCGGGAAGTAAAATGAAAGTAAGTCGGAACACCATACCAACACTTCACTGTCAAGCGACTCCCAACGGCTGCATTCGGGTTGGGACCTGTGAATTCATCCGTAGTTACGCAGGCTCAAACTAGTTTAGTACGAGCAATAACAATGAGATGACTAGAGGATAAGCGGAGTTTTCCGACAAAACCGACATCGTTTTCCGGTTTAGGGGGATAAGCTCGCCGTAGAAGATATGATATGATATGCGAAGGAAATTGAGTGCTGATGTCAGGGACAATGTAGCGCACTATGCGGAAAATGATTCGCGGTGCTAACCAATGGGCTCCCGCGACGTACTTTGTGTGCGCGCCGGGGTGTGGATGGAAGGAGAGATTGCCAAGTTATGACTTGGTCAAGAGGAATGAAAGCTTTTAGTTCAAAGTTGGCCTAGATTGGAGCATCTCGGCTCCCTGACTGGGGTCCGAAAGACGATGAACACGTTTGGCCGGATACACCTATTTATATGGCTAGGAGCTGACGTCAGAGGCGTTCGCGTTGTGAGTTTCTTTGTCCTTCCCTCTCCGACCCCGACCAAAAAGTATACGCATAATATAATAGTTCTTTTGCGGCACAATAACTGACTGTTAGCCCTTCGGAACGATGTCCATCCGTTATCGGCGACCCAACCGGCGTGCCTTTGTTGCATCCTTTTTTCTAATGTACTGCGGCACAATAGCTGAGGTGTTTTCCACCTCTAGCAAACGTGTATAATGATGATGATGGAGGTGAACAGTTGTGTTGCACAAGCTAGAAAGTTAATGTTTCGGCTTGGGATGGTCAGTCATGTATCAAACTGCATAATCAGTCGTGCGTATGACGTTCAACAGAGGAAAGAACAAGTGGCACATCGAGAGGTTTCGGAAATGCCGTGGCAGAAGATAAAAACTGGCCTGTTAATGCACAAAAGAATGGATTATCTGATTACGATAGATGGGTTCAGTGACTACTTTGGGATTGTACATTGTGCTCAGTGCACATGGTGTGGTAAATAAGCTGTGCGGTTATTTTGCTCGACACGGAATTTCAAAGAAATTAGTATCGAACAACGGACCGCAGTTTACTGCTGAGGAGTTCCGCGTTTTCAGTGCGAATTTAGAATTTGATCATCACCTTACGAGCTCTTACCATAGTCAGCCAAACGGAAAGACGAAGGCAGCAGTGGAAGATGCGAAGAGAATAATAACCAAACTCAAATAGCAGAAGACCTGTCTGGAACGAAGAAACACCCGGTCTCCGGAAATCGGAGTGAACTTTGCCCAACATTTATTTAGCTATAGAAGGAGAATTTCGTTGCCAGCTGCCAAAATCGTGCTCTAGCCAGAAGCACTACCCACAGCGATGATGCAAGGCAGTCTGAAAAATGGAATGCTCATACAGAAGCGGTATTATAATCGCGGATCTAAAGTCACCACCACTTCGGATGAACGAATATGTATGGTTAGTGGTACTAAAAGTCGAAAAACAGCGGAGAAGTTGAAGAAACGTGGACAGGAGAAATAACTTATATAAGCAAATTGGAAAACGGTTGGTATCGATTAAATCGGATTCACGTGAGATAACATCCGCCAAGGAGTGTGACGTCTAGCGAATGACAAACTCAACAGGAAAGCAAAGGCAACCAGAAAAGACGGCAAAAAGAACACAGTGGAAGAGCGTACAAACTTTAAACACCAAAAACCAGGAACTAAATTAGGGTGTGGTGCGCGCAAGACACTAAGACGTACCGGTGACAAGCGACTTAGCTCCTGTTTGGCTGGCAGACAGTGTGTTGCAAACTCGAAAGCGAGTAGCAGCTAATGACGTATAACAAGACAAGCATTCAAAAATATCGGTGACAATTAGCTTCGCTCTCGGTTATTTCTTGCTGCTAACCAGAGGCATTGAAACAATGACTGACGGTCGCGCGGAGGCTGTTCGAAAATGCAAAGCAGTGAGACATGACATCCTGTCAAATTTGTCCTATACTATACTCCACAAATATTATGCTTATTTGTGATGCACATGGAGTTGTGCTCGAAACCTAACTTGACTATCCTCGCACTCGGAGGGCCGCAAGACAGTCGGCAACTTTGGGATCACGTGGGACATAGCTAGCGACATCCGGCTAAGGAGTAGCCTGTCGATGTGGCCGCTAAGAAGACAGTCACAAAATGCCTGCGCATACAAAGGAACCATGGGCGGCTTGCACTGCACCACCCACAGCTCTATCCACACACCTTGTATCCAGTGTAAAACCGAAGGAATAAGACCGGGAGGCATGCGGATTAGATCCACGGGAGGTCCCGTGTGCCAAGCGTACGTCCGACAGAAATCCAGTCGAATTTAGCCGAAATGAGACGACAGAGAACATCTTTAATAGACTGTAGGTAATATTCTGCGGCCTGGGCAATCGGGAAGCTATCCGCTCACAATTTCCTCGGTTTGGGCTACCGGGACGTTTTCTGCCAAAACAACGAACGGAACCTTGTATCACTTCCCTTAACTGCCTTTCCACTTTGCTTTTATGTTATCCATGCGTTGTGACACTGCCAATTGTTAAATAGTCAAGTTCTGAGCATATATATATATATATATATATATATATATATATATATATATATATATAATCACCTGACCAATTTACAATTGGCAGAATGTCACAGCACATGGGAAACGACAACAGAAAGAGAAAAAAAACGGGAAGTCAATGGGAGAGTTAAGTGAGTTTATAGGATTTATGGGCAAACAGCTTCCCGGTTGGCCAATGCATGTGAGCATGTAAGTGCCTGAAGAGTACAAAAGCATGATGATGAATGATTGTGAGGCATTCTAATCGAATGCTGCATACCTGTAGAAAGACCATTTCAGTATGAGCTGGTGTGCTGCCCGAGTGTAGGCCAAACTATTCCCTTCGAGTGGTTGTAGAATGTTTATTACGACGGTGTCCAACCATTGAGCCCATTCTTCCAAGGAGGCGTGTTTGTGCAAAATACGTTTGAAGTCTTGCTCCAGTTGACTGACCGTGGCATCGCTACACTGGCACACCCAAGAAGCTTGTTCCTGCAGAAGATACATATAGTGTCAACTGAGTGGGATCATACACATGAGCGTTGTAAGCCAAGTGAAAAAGATGGAAAACAAGGAGCACTCATAGTGAGAATATAAAGGAAACGAAAAACAGGGTTTAAAAGATCCGTCGCAACTGTACTTCATCAACGAATCCGGCGAAAAATGATTTTACACTGCCGAGACGGTGCGGGTATTGCATCTTCCAGGTTAGCGGTTAGAACCTGTGCACGTCCTATTTTTCGATGTAGTGGCCAAAGTTCTGGGATACTACGGCTCAACAAGTGGTTGCGACATTGTGCAACTCTCCCGCTGCCATGAGCGCTCCCAATGTGCATTGGTGGTTCAATCAGCCGCTGGTGATCATTGGGTTCGGATCCTCATGGAGGCAATGGATGCGCACTACTGAAGAAAGCCAACGGGCCGAGACGACCGTCTGGTGCTTTTCCGGGCATTTGGAGGACTATGTGATTTGGAATCTGCTGGGACGAACTATCAATAGATAATTTGGAGGCTAGTACACTCCTTAACAAAATCCTTGTGGGTTTCCACTGTTCAAACGATCTATCGTGATGGCAATGCATGAGTCGTCCACCTAAGATGTGGTAGACATCATTGTGGTGAGGACCATAAGCATGACCACCGCGCAACTGAAACATTAACAGGTTGTTCGGACAACCAATGCATGCTCATGTTCGGTGAGAACTCCGGGAGCAAAATGCTGAAGTCCGCTAGTGGATGGTTGGAGAAAAATGGTCTGTCGCCGCACAGTAGTGTCTGTCAAATTTGAAAGGAGTAAGTCAGTTAGGTCATGTCTTCCGGGTGCCCGTTGACCACATTCCTCGGATTGTATTCATATACCGTCGCTGCATCCAGTTGCGCGTGTCCACAAAGCGGACAGTCGATAATTGGACTGCAAAGTCACAATCCTCCTTGGAGGTTAATGGTCAATGGCCCTCTTCAGTTAAAACCCAAACATGGGAGACAACAGGTTTAATGGTTATATCAACGCTCGACTAGTGTAGAGAACGAGCACCACACATTGACCATGGTGGAAGAGCACCGCACGGTTTGCTACCGCCCGCCTCAAGCCAGGCAGATCCTGGTAAAATCGGTTCAAACCCGCCGACTCCCATCTGCGGATGGCCGTGGTCGCAGGTGCGCAACATGGTTGGGGGCATCCGGTTTCGGATTTGCCTGTCACTGTGGCCAGCCACACGACGCCTGCGCCTACAGAGGGACCATGGGTGGCTTGCACTGGACCACCCACAGCGCCAACCACACACCACATATTCAGTATAAACCCGAAGGAATAAGACCGAGAGACATGTGGATGGGAGCCACGTTTCATCAACGGAGCCGGCCCACACTCCTTCACAGACAAACACAAGCAAGCTGTACTTGTGGAATCAAGCGCACACATGGCGGTGGCTGGAGCGTAGTCCGCTCCACACTGAGTGCATGGAACCACTCTTCGAGCCTAGCAAGGCCACAAGGACCGTATACCCCGTCCCATCCAGCAACGACCAACTGTCTCCTGGAGCCAGTATGAACGAGGTAGCGGGTAATAGACAGGTAGACATTTTGTCAACATACACATCAAGCGCAGCCACACCGGGGATATCAAGCAACAGACAAACACTGGAAACGACAAGATGAAATAAAATAAATAGAATAATGCATACAGATACGGTGATATAACTGTTCGCTAAATTACCATATGAAGTAATTTGGTTAGCAACAAATCCGTGATAAGTAAGAAATGTCCACAAATTACTTAAAAATGTTACAAACGCAACAAAGCTACCGAAGATAAGCGCAATCAGCGTAAGCAACGTGACCAGTTAATAGAACATTATTCAGGTAGGCAGAAAAAAAAGAAAGTGGAATGAAATTTATCCAGCTTAAAAAGACTTAGTTTAAGTGTACGTTGGTTTAGCCCAACTGCAGTGAAGAAGCACCATGAATGCAGTATTAGCCTCAGCATGGGACACAGGTGCGTGACATACTACGGTCGTAAAACACACAAGCAACGTACCAAATCTTCAGAGGGTGTGGGTGACAGGTTTCAAACAGATGCCAATGGGTCTCCGCAATCACAGTCTCGAACTGGACTTGGTCCCCACTGCCTTGCGGGTCAGAATATTGAGTTGAATTCCTGAGGTAGCGCACTTCGAATAAAACCCCTGTCGTAAGGAGCAGCCGGAGAGTACCATCTACTCTCTAGACCCCGTCGACAATATTCCTTTTTATTCTTCTTCTCCACGCTCTTTCGTATTGTGAGCGTAAGACTGACACTGACCGCGCAGCTGCTTCCGTCGATATATGTCGCTCTTCGGTCAAATCTTGAGTCTCATTTGCTCACATCTGGTAGGAACGCCACGTAAGCAATGTTCCGGCTCGCCAGTTGGTTTTTGACAAAAATTCTTCTGTCGCCTCACTCGAGTGATTGCTTAATCTTGACCACTTACGTTGGATGGGTCATGTCCACTGCTGATCGCCTTCTTCGGCGTGTATTATAACGCCGTTGCTGCACGAAGTTGGGCGAAATCGCGATGTGGCCAAACGGTGACGTGGCATATAAGCATTAATAATTCGACTGAGGGACTTGGTCAGGCTGTTCATAGCGTCTCCGTAGATGGGGACCAGGGGTTGATCTACACCAGTGGTTGGAGACTATCAGACAAGTCACAATCGCGCAATCAGTGGCGTTCTTATATTTGGATGTGTTAATTGTCACTGCACCCCGATTGATTTTACACACTTTTGTCTTTATTCCAATTTCCTTGCAAACGATTTGCGATCAACCACATTTGCTTACTGCTGTTATTTATCGCTAACCTGGCGACGTGGGTCGTGGCAACGGGATCTACTGGATTTCGATGCCCGGATCATAATTGTTCAACTAAAAAGAACTGAACAACTTACGCACGAGTCACTTTCAAGCCGTACAATTGTTAGCACGGTCGTCATGATGCAAGTGGGATTAGAATGTTTGCGCTCCTGATAATTATGTCTGCTGTACATGTCACTGCCTATGATGGCCGAGTGTCATAAGGTCTGCCAATTCATTGACACCGATCCAATCGTGAAACGACTGTGGATCGGTCTGAATAGGTTTACATCGAAAGGGCTAACCGCGTACCAACAATTGGTTGGCGATAGAGGGGAAGCGAAAAATGGGAATCACAATGATTTGCCAAAATGCACAGATATGGAGACGCATGGCGAATGTGACACGAACCTCAGGATCGAGTATTTCCATGCATGCATACACACACAAACACAGGCGCAGACACAAGAACATACGAACAAAGCATGAGGAATAGGATGACCGCGAAATAGCACAAGTATGTCACAGCGAAAAAGAGTCCATGAACCACAGGGTTGCAAGGTGTGGATCGAAGAACGATGACTTGCCTGTACATTGTTGAAATCCACGCGATTCAGATCAGTCAACATTTGATTAATTTGACTGCTATTCTTGAGGACAGTGCGAGCGGCCTGTGCCAGATGGTTGAGACTGGTGTAGCGTCGCAATGTCTGCGCCAGAGCCGATACAGCGGACAGCTTCAACGTGACCAATGTGTTGTCTAAACCATGGGTGGCCTGACGCATCCAGCCCTGTAGAGAAAACGAAAAAGTGATGCATCGTCATGTCATGAGAGGAAGAGATGATACATGTGAATCACAAAGGGATCGGCCACTTAAGTGAAAAGATCAGGTAAGACCATGGACTTCGTGACGGTAGAACATGCGGGTCTGGCTTTAATGGTCGAGCTGCACGTAGTCGGGAAACTGTGGTTCGAACAACCTCGTAATGAAGAATCTCGGTGATGCGCTCTCCAAAACTTAAAAATGAACTTCGTAATGCATTGCTATGACAACTACAACAAGTGGTTCTATGAAATAGCTAGGTAAACGAGTGGGTGATGGTACAGCAATAGCGAATATGTGACATAGTCGACGCGTGATATCGGAGCAATTGCATACATAAGTGATAACAGCTGAGAAGGAAGTAAGCGAATCGAGATCATAGGATCAAGAGCAACTCGATAGGTCACATGAAAAAATCGATTGGCCGTTGGGAATGAGCAGCTTGGACTGGTTTTCCAGCTAAGTTGTTCGGACTGATCTAGTTCTAGTGGTACATGGTTGGTTTTCATTTGACAAGCGTTTTGCTTGTGGAAACCCACAAATCGTTAGAAAAACCGCAACGTGGTGGACGCAATTTGCCACCAAGTAAAGTCTACCAAAGCTCGGAGTGGTGTCCCGTAAATCAACTGGACGGTATCACGTTCTCAGAAGAAGCCATGGATTGTCTTGGGTTGTATCGGATTTCTCCTTTACGAGAACTTCACCATGTCTATTCACTAGACCACGTATTACCACGTATAACCGGAAGCCTTCATACAGCGACTTGGATTTTGTGCCCCATATAGGTTATTCCGCGCATCAGCCATCGTAGCCGACTAAGAAGATGAGATTTGAAGACACGAGAGCAGTCGGTTTGATAAGCATAACTTATCTACGGTGGTTGACGGGGTGAAGAAGTGCGGACTCATTGGTCCTATTTCAACAGATTCAAGGAGACGACGGTAAAACCATCCTTGGCCCCGAGCTCGTAGTGAGCAACCCAACAGGATTCGAGCTCCTTCGATAAGAACCATACAATTGACTAAATAAATGGTTAAATAAATAAAACAATGTGTACAAACATAGGCACGGAGCAGAGACCAGCCCGAATGCTGCAAAGTAATAAAGGTGACAAAACACATTTTCGTTGGAAACGGCTAGTAGGAAGCAAGGAGTAAAAAAAGCGAAAGTTGAGAAAAGAATTCGGAAGGCTTACCTCTAAAGACTTGGCAAAATTGCGAATCGCTTGGGTTAAGGCGTGCGGAATTGGTCGCAAGACGTTTGGAATGAGTACTTCGGCGAGCGATTGATAAAACGTATGATCATACAACCGAACGAATTGCAGTACGCCTGGATCGCATACCAGTGTGTGCAGACGCTCCTGTGACAGGCTTTGTCTCAAACGTGAGTCCTGTACAAAAAGGAGCCGATGGATAGGACATGTTAGCGCGCGTAAGCAATGATTCTAAACAAAAATAAAAAAGATATACAAGTTGAACCAGAGGGTGAAAAGCTATGCGCTATATAATGGTAGTTACAAGTGGTTGCATTGGCGCGACGATGGACAAGGATCGAGCAGCTCACGAATAATGTTAGAATGGCATCGAATCGAGCAGAAACAGAGAATCGATTTGGCATGGAACGCATTAGCCTGCAAATACCCCTAGAAAAAAGCAACGAGGAGGAGGTTCCGTTCACTCAGAGCACGCAACTTGTTCGCCTATGAGTGCAAGCTCATACGCTGAGCGGCTTCAATGGCCAAACTTACCCTGACTTCATCAGTGCGCCAAAATGCTTTCCACACCGTCTCAATTGCTGTGAAATCCAGGTTGACGACGGCGTCCAGCATGTAACTGGCGGACAAGGCGTACAGACGACAAAATGCGATCACGTCCGCACAGAAAGATGGATCGTGTGATACGGCACCAACACTAAGCTTGGCCTTGGATTTGCCGGAATCTGTGCTTTCACTTGTGAGCGAAGCCAGATCCGCTGCGAGTACACAAATAAAAACGGAAAGCGAAATGTGCGCGAGCAGCATGAAACATGAGAATACCAGGATGATGAAGCAAATGGAAGACTTCGACGAAATAAATAAGTGAGAACAAAGAAGTCAGTCAAATGACCTATTGTAGCAAATAAGCTGTGATAGGTCAACATTGAATGAAATCGAATTGCACTGAACATAAATCCACATGGTGCAAGTAGTTAAACAAATTGCTATGTCCCTTCTGTAGGTTAGGAAAACTGCACGGGAATGACGAAACTGCCTACCGCATAATACCCGCGTCGATGAATGTGCCCCAGGTATGCTACGACCGCGCCGTTAGCCGGAGCGTGTGGCAGAAATAGAGAAGACACTATCGTCCTAGGTTTACTTCTATAAATCCGTAGTAAATAAGTGTGAGGAAAACACGTATATGAAAACAAGGGCTGCAAAAGGCCGTAGAAGGACAGATTGTGGCTGCGCGACAAGTATTATGTTTGCATTGATGCTCAACTTCGACCATACCTCACGTTACCGGGCAAACTTTAAAATAAGTACGCAGATGTGAAAATCATGCTCTTTGGCTGAGTCAGTAAAAAGCCCCGGTAAATGTCCGTCTTCACTCTGGTCCCCGGAGTCCGCACTGCAGCTTGGGGCTTCACGTTTGATCACAGACGTGAAATTATTCCGCTGGAAGACGGCTATCTTTAGCAAGCACCTACTAGTTGAAATTTGAGGAGCCAAAACCTAACGGAATTCCGATCCGACAGTCTACGTGCGTAGAGTATGCCGTTTGAATGTCGGTAGTACATGAACAAAACGAAACGGACACCTTCCATCGATTGGGATAATAAAAAGTGACATTAAACACACAACAGTCAATAGTTTGTCAAAAAGTAAAATTGACAAAGGGCATACAAGACCACCGTTGAAACCCACTTTCACCAGGAACAGGTAATCCAGCGGATCGGCAAATTTCGTCCAGATTCGGCAAAGCAGAGCTTGCTTCCCCTAGGAACTGGGCGTGTTGATGCTGGCTGCTCGTGTTAAGAGTTGGACTGGAGACCGTCCCAGTCGAGGGAACTGGGTCGGTCGTACCTGAACTCAGTGATGTTCCCCCGCTTCCAGCAGTATTCGTGGAGGACAAGTAGGAGGGCTTGTCAGAACGCAACGACGAGGCGCCAAACTCATGGTGCTGGGCTGCCATGGATTGTAAAGGGGTGTGATAAGTCGGGCCCAGAACGGTGTTCGTTGGGCCAATGATGGACTTGGATCGACTCATGGAGGAGCTGGTAAAGTTTTTCCAGTCTGCCGCTGCCTCCATCGTCTGTCGATGGTAATTCGGATAGTGGCGCAACGAGAACCCTGCGTCTTCGACGAAATGATTTAAATGAGACGTGGGTTTGATGCGAATGCCGTAATAATGATATTTCGAATTTCCTCGGGTACCCAGTCGACGGGTGCGTAACCCGAAGAAGACGGAACGGATCAATTTGCCGAACGAGGCCGGATTCATCGGTTCCAACTTGTGCTCGTTGCAATGTTGCAGATAGTGGAAGTACAACGTGCTCCGAGGAAGACTCACACCTTCGGCAGTCTCGTAGTTCTCCACTAACCATTGCACCTAAAGGGTGCGAATAAGAACAAGTGCGTGGGTTGTCCTCAGAAGTGGCAATTAAGTAGCGAAATCATGTCTAACTAGCGTAAAACAAAACAGCGAAATACAGATGAAGTCGCTGAAGAAAGACTAACCGACGATATCGAAGTAGATGAAGTAGTCAATGAAGACAAAAGATGAACCGGCAATATAGGCGGCATGGCAAGCATATCGAGCACAGACGCGTAAGACAGTACAAGGTTGTTCACTGTTGAACCTGTGGTTAGACTGTACCGGCCGACCAGCAAGACAAGTAGATAGCCGATCATAGAGCACTGCGTAAATGGTTGTAGCACGGATATCCCAGCTCGGATTAAAAGAGATCATTGTTGTCCTCAACACCACCACAACCATCACCATCATCGACGACAGAAACAGTAACGAATCCACTATATGGATGTCTCGATAAGCAAACGATAGAGAACAGTGAAGAGGAAGTGCTCACCATCTGAATGGATTGCGACACGCAACCTCCATTGAGACCTCTGTTTAGTTTGAACTAAATTTCGGTCATTTCGGCCACCAAGATCGTACCCGAAAAGGAAGAGCTTCGGTGCTGCTCCTCCCAACACTGACACCATATGATCGGTTTCGTCCCCATTTAGAATAATCAGGCAGAGAGAGCTTGAGTTGGGGAGCGGAACTCGGGGCCGAATGGTAAACGGATGGCGCCTCGGTCACCAGATTATGGGATCCACGAAGTGAACAATCTTAACTTGGTTATTCATGAGTAAAATACCTCAAGGTAGTTACAATGTGGACCCATCACAGTAGCTTCTAAGCCAGATACCCTGTCACCAAGCTGGAAGAGCACCAGACGGCCGGTTCGTACTACGGGGACGCGTCAATGGTGGGGTATATCGCAGTTGGCTTGCAAGTCATGACCGTCCACCGCCGTTTTCCATGATTTAATGACATAAGCTACTGTTAGTGCCGCAAGGCGCTAGTGGTCATGGTTTGGGTTCTTGATAGCATCGGAAGATGCACATTACTGAGGGATCCAAATCGAACGGTACTGTCGTCTGGATTGGTGGCAGGATAACTGGCAAGAATCCACTGCAATGAATGCTCAATACAAAGCCAACTTGCAAAAATCCTCAAAGATGTTGGTATCCACTTAAAGGGTCAAAGGCAAACAGATCTATTCGGGGGGGAAAACGAGCAAGTCAAATCAAATCATGAAGAGTGGATATACAGCTCTTACACACATGCCACAGACAAGGATAAAAAACGAACACTAAGAATGCATGGGGATGGATATAAAATCATAAATGTTAAAAGTACTTGATAGAACAAATATTACTAGAGTACTATACTAGCCAGTTCTGAAACGACTGAAATTTTGTCGTTCAAAAAAACGTGACAGGCAAGGAACAACTGATGTACCATAGGTACTTGTGCGGGCGTATATAGTCTTGTAGCACTAACTGGTCGAAGAGATTGATACGCATTCGGACAACGCCCTGTGCAGGGGGTGGCTAACATTAGTGAGTATTTTAGATGCAAGCTTGTTACATGAGTTGACATGACCGGCTACAATGATGTTAACAAGTTCCTGCCTTGAAATGCTACTACATCGGGACAGATGCTTCACTGATCTGGCAATAACTTTCAGATCCTTAGTCAGGAGACCAAGAAAGATCACTGAAAAGCAATAGGTCCAATAGCGTAGCACATATGCAGTGATAAAACGCTGGATCAAAAAACGGGTTACGAAAGAAATCATGGGACGTGTAACATAGAATGAGTCTTCTAACTTTAGCGAGTGTTTCGTTCAGGTAAAGGGACCAGGTAAGCCAGGTATTTTACTGAAGTGAAAGAGGTCAAACATTCACCGTCAATGCATGGTTGCAGACACCGCGTTAATAATTGCTGGTAGTGATTTCCCTTGAACAACAAAAAGGAGATCCATGTAATTTGAGGTATTTAACGGACTGCACAAGGATTTGGATGAGGCTGTGAGGTTGTGCAGGAGGGTTTAGTTTGGCCGATGACACATGGATTGGATGATGGACGCCAAGGATTACGTCATCCGCAAACTTCAGGGGATTGAGAAGACGTAAGCGGAAAATAAGAATGGGGACAAAATGGCTCCACGAAGAACACCAGAGTTCGTGATGAGTGAAGAAGCTTTTTCCAATTAACCTTATAAACTAGATGCGCTTAGTCAAATAATCTTTGAGCACAAGAACAGAACTCTAAAGCCCAGCATATCGTGCAACAGTAGTTTACGGTCCACGCAACCGAAAGCGTTGCTAAAATCCAAAAAGCATATGCAAATGGATTTATTTTTATTATCCAGTGCCGGCAGCACAGTATGTATCGGATATGGTACGGCATCTAAGGTGGACCTTGAGCTACGATACGCAAACTGATGAGAATCATCCGAATGCATGTGGACTGAAATACTTTTCGGAATAAGCCCCTCAAAGGTATTCAGAGCAACAGGGGTGCAAGCGATCGACCGATATTTGCAGGTTCCTTTCTTAGGCACTGACGTGAAGCCTGCGCTTCGTCAACTGTCAGCTAGGCTGTGCTGCTTGAAGCACAGTGTGTACAAGTCGGTGAGAGGATGTGCCAGATAATCTGCACAATAATTGAGCGCGACAGTAGACAAGTTATCCGGACCAGGTGCTTTGTTCACTTGCAACCCGACTAATTCCATGTGTATTTCTAGGCTGCTCTCACAAAAGGAGGGTCAGCCGAGGCTAGCTGCAACTCAGCAAAGGGTAAATCGAAGAATGAAGTGCTATCCTGGTCATAAAAGTGGAGTTTAGTTAATCCACATCCGGAGTTGAATGCGTGACCTCGCGGGCGATTCCGTTTACCTGGTTCAACAATTTGTATATTTCAAAGTAGTTATTGTTTCCATGCATGGCTGAGCCGACGTAAGTTGATTTTTACATCAATCGATGTAGACTTTAATTTGCGTTTGAAAGCCTCTTCTTTAGGTCTGCGCAGTCGTTTGAGATGAGAATCCATCAGCACATAAAAATTTTTCCATTGGACAACATGTGTCGAAGCAGACGATTAAGAACTAGTTAACTGGTCACAGCACTTCGATACGTCCGACTTATAAAATAGTCAAAGTCATCAGAAGTACGCCAACACACCGTACAGACGCCTTGCTGCCACGCAAACACAACCGGTCGCGCTTGGACAGAGTATATCGCGAGGACACGCGCCCCTACGCGGATTCGAGCCAGTGAGCTACGAATTGTAAGGAAGGCGTACAATACTTTCGGCCACCGGCCGGTACATCATAAAATAAACAAAAATCGATGCGGGCAATGATTTTCCGCAGTCAATGAATGTTCTGGAGAAGGCGTTGTCTACACTTGAACTTCCGGGTGAGATATTTATGGTTCATCTTGCTATAGATAACGGTAGATAACTTTACGATGACATGATCAGAGCTCCCAAGCGGCGCCGAAAACAAACAGAAAACCCTTTCGAACTGCTAACAAAGGCATCAGCAGCGCGCCGGTAGGCGGCACTAACGTTTTGCAGCCGAGCACCCACCACCAATCGCACGTGGACCAAGAATACCGTGATGACCGACCCGACCTTACGCAGGCTCGAACCCGCGCCCTCGGATTACAAGGTGGGCTTGTGATTCTTAACGCTGTGGGCCGGTGTTGTCAACAAATACCATGACAAGTGTCGCATTTAACCTGGTTGGAGATCGCAATATGTTTTTTAGCCCGAGGCTCGCAATGAAGATGGGGTCAGATCTGTTAAAATCGCCGGCAACTATGCACAACGAGAGTACTAGGTATCCGAGGACCGCAGCTATAAACCTGTCGCAAAATTCTTCGACTTTGTAGCCTAAACAATGAAATCGAAGGTTAATTGTTCAGCAAGCTTGGTTTGCACTTCACAAGTAAACAGCTGATGCAATGCGAGCTTTGTTAGAAAATGGTATTAATCGATGTGCACTACGAATAATGAAGATAATTGATAACGCCACCACCGCGGTTCCTCTGTACACATTGGCGATCAAAACAAAAGCACAACATGCCTCAAATAATTGATGTTTTACCCGCATTTACCTAAAGAAGGAAACCAGTCTACCAGCGAGTGTATGGGGCCAAGTCAGCGGCGGTCATCACTACATGACACAGAGAAGTAGCAAAAATATCTGGTTAATGTGTTGAGCGAACGGACCGATACCAGTAATCACTCGGTAAAATTTAATGCAATGCACTTTAATTGGTGTGGTTTAGATAACGAAGTTGCCAAACTAAGAACTTACGAGTTGTAGCGGTTCGTTGCCATCACCCTTGGGTTAGTGGGAAAAGTCGCTGGTTTGTAAGAGTATGGTCATGGCTTTGAGCCCAGCAAAATTGGGAGGGTGCGCGCGACCGACGAGCCCCAAAAGGACAAAACGGCTGTTTAATGATTTTCTGGATGTGTGGTGGCTGTTCGACTGAGCCCTAGCTGTGATAAATCTTTACGAAAACACAATAAATTCCCTAATACTCAATAAGGAAAAAACTAGAATTATCTGGTGAATTGATATGCCAATGTTAGCAAGGACTACTAATATATAACGACCAACTTGTAATCACTTTGTTAATTACTCCTATTTGCATTCGGATGGGATCACATTGAGCGTTTAGAATGATCGGGTTGCATTTGCTAAGAACCACCATTCCCGGCATCGCACGGGCACAGTTAAGTTCTAAAGCGCAAAGTCAACAATGCTACGGTGAGAGAGATTCTGCTCTCCCAATTTCCTGTATTATTTAGCGGCATACGCTTCCGGATTTGACTGTCACTGTGGCCAGCCACACGACGCCTGCGCCTACAGAGAGACCATGGGTGGCTTGCGCTGCACCACCCACACACATCATATCCAGTGTAAACTCGAAGCAATAAGACCGGGAGGCATGTGGATGGGAGCCACGTTTCATCAACGGAGCCGGCCCACACTCCTTCACAGGCAAACACAAGCACGCTGTATTTGGGGATCAAGCGCACACAAGGCGGTGGCTAGACCGTAGTCCGCTCCACATTGAGTGCATGGAACCACTCTTCGAGCCTAGCACGACCACAAGAACCGTGCACTCCATCTCCCCCAGCAACGAGCAACTGGCTCCTACAGCCAGCATGGCCGAGGTAGTGGGTAATAGACAGGTAGGCGCCTTGTCAACGTACACCTATATATATATATATATATATATATATATATATATATATATATATATATATGCCCCATGCGAAGGCTGATGTTGCTTTCTTGATGCTTCTTCACCGCAGTGGGGCT